TACCAATAAATACGGCTGTCTAAATACTGCATCGTCGGCTGGTTCCAAGAAACCCCTAATTTTTTTAAGAACTTCGTTAGGGCCGACTTGGTAGTAAACAAACCAAACGGCAAGACGGAAGTGTGCCACATTTCTAACGCGTTACTAGATCTAGATCTATCTAGATCCATTTCAACAATTTGAAAGTTCTTTACTGTGTCCGATTCAAATATTCTGGAGATAATTCATGCAAAATATCTTGAAATATATTCACAAAAAACATGTGTTAGTGTTAGAAGGAATAATTTAATATGATAAGACTAGGACTACCTATCCTCACCCTTTTGATACACTTTATAAAACGACAGACTTGTTTCTTTTTTGGCATTGTAGTACATTTTTGTGTCAAAGTTTAATTAACGTTCAAACAAAGCTATATTGTTTGCCATATTTTTTGCCAAGTGCCCTTTTTCCCGCAAGGTAGAAGTCTAGATTCTAGATCTACACAAAATAAAATACTGTCTAAAACTCGAATTGACTGATTTTACAAGTCATAGAAATACAAAATCTACGGTTTAGGTTAGGTACAATTTTTATTCATGTTGTGAGAAATGGCAAAATTCGAAAACATAAGAGCCGATAAAATCATAGCTTCGCTCGTTTCTGAATGCGTTAAGAGTTAACACCCTTTGTTTACGAAAACGTTCCCGATTTCACGTGTTGTGTTATCGCCGATGATTTGTAACGACCAGTGTTTTTGTCCTGTGAGAGTATTCGGTACTGTTAGGTACAACAACAAATTCGAGCAACGATGTCTTCGTTACAATATGAAGGCTGTAACAACTTCCGTATGAGATTGGTTCTAGCCACTTTGAGCGGAAAATCTGTGAAGATAAATCAAATGAGACCAGAGGAGGATGATCCTGGACTGAAAGGTAAGCTCTAGATTCTAGATCTAGATTTAGAATCTAGAATCTAGATCTAGTCTATATCATCTAATCTAGATCTAGAATCTAGAGGCTAGAGCCTAATACATAGATTCTAGATCGGAGTGTCTACGTACACGGTGACCGGGCACCTAGCCACAGTGTCTACGTCACGTAGGCCTACATGGCAACCGGGCACGTAGTCTCAGTGTCATGTACACGGTAACCGGGCATCAGCCTCAATATCTACGTACACGGTAACC